GTTGGGCCCCATCGGCATTCCGTCGATGATTGCGCAAAAGATGCTGCAAGTAAAAGATCTTGTTGGCACATTCCGCATGCTGGGATTTTTCATCGCTTCTGTGATTCTCGGTAAGAGCACAACTTCTGGTTTACCCGTTAGGTTGAACTACCTATTATTGTTTAGGGTTAGCTATCGTGTCACTCGTCACACTGCCACTTGTCTTCGCGGTGATAACCAGAAGAAACCCTTACAAGTTCATAAAAGCTCTGAATAGAGCCTTACTGCAGGGCGTCGCCACGTCGTCAAGGTAAGTTTTATCAGATTGTCTCACGTCGTTCACCGGAAGAGAACGATCTGTTAAGCGCCGCCAGCCTGCCGGTGACTTTTGAATGTGTGCGTGACTTGAATCTGGACCCACGAGTGGCCAAATTTGTGCTGACCGTCGGCACGATCCTGGCAACGGTTCGCTCTACAGTTTGTATCTGTTTTCAAAACAAAAACTACAATTCCAGAAATAAGATGGAGTATAAAGCAGCTGGCGTTCATCCCATTCTAGGATGCGCCACGCATTTTGCCTCCATTCAGAACCGTGGCATTTGGAATGCGATTTGGCCTGTAAATGCAGTGACTTGCGGGAGCCAGCCGATGTTCAAGTCAGTGTTTTTATCCTCCCAGACAAGTCTGGTACCAATTAACCGACCCCGGAGGGATGGAAGGCTTGGTTGGCCCGGGCGACTCACGACCCAGGATTTGATCCCGGACCGCTCGCGTGGTAAGCGCGCCACTTGCCACTACACCACTTCCGCCCAAGATAATATCGTGGGCTAAATATTATAGCATTTAAAAATACCGCTTGAACTCTCAAGAGAGACTAACTATAAGCTACACTTCGCAAGAAAAAGGACTCATGACTGGTGCCGCAATAACGCTCACAAATTTATATCCCTAGTTCCATTGGAAGGCGAATTCGCCTGAAGTCAATACTAAGGGCTTTTGTGAAAAAGGAATTTTGCGTTTTGGAATGCTCCACATTCGAACTCTGGGAAAGCAAGGAAATAGTTTGGGCAGAAATTATCCAAGATGCGTTGTTTGCCGACTACGAATAGCAACCCAAGTTCCCACGAGCTGTAGTTCTTGCTGGAGGCGAGCATACTTAATTGCGGAACTTTCCGTTGTTATGATAAAAGGATAAAGTTCTTGCCGTTGATCAATCCCTTTTTTGGATGCGGTACGCATTCTACTTCCATTAATAATATATTCGTAATGGTGTTTTTAATGCGATGTGGCCTATACAATGTCTTGGGGCCAGGTGATGTACAAGTCATCATACCAGACAAGCACCGACTTTGAGGGGATGGAAAGCTTGGTTATCCTGAACGAAGCAGAAGCCGGGGTTCGATTCCCGAATCGCGCGCGCGGTAAGCGTGCCACTTGCCACTACACCCCCCTTCTCCTTTTTGTTAGGTAAATGATTCCTGAGTTTTATCGTATTTCAGTTCGAATTGTGGTCATTGTGCTGCAATGACTTCCTGGAACAATTTCCTCTCTTCCCTGTAGATAAGATTGTTCAGATTGGCACGGCGCTATTCCAAGCAGTATCTCCTATTTTCATTGCTCAGATGAACGGAATCACTCTAGACTTAGGACAGTACATCACACTATGGTAAGAAGGAGCTACCTTCTTCCTAATCATGAGGAAGCACATGATTGTCTCAGCAGCGCCAAATAACTGTCATTTTTCAGCGTAACTGCTTGCTTGGCATCGGCTGGAGCGGCGACTGTGCCCAGTTCTGCCCTAGTCACGATGATCATCGTTCTATCGGCTCTTTGGACTGCCGGTTGATGACATCTCACTAATCTTCACTGTCGACTGGCTACTGTGAGTTGACAACTTACTTGTTAGCAGCTAGAGCTCATTTATCACCAGTTCATTCCTGAAAGGTTCAAGCCATCCAGCTTATTTCTAGGGATCGTTTCCGAACATGCACTAACATTGTGGCGGCCTCCATTGGATGTGGAATTGTGGATTACCTGAGCAGAAACGATTTAAGCAATCTTGATGCCATGGCGGAAACCGCTTCAATAGCATCGATTGTGTGTGACAGTTGCTCGACAAAGCTCGATTCCAGATCTCTCAGTCGAGACCAGAACCTTTTCGGAAAAACTCCATAGCGCCTACGAAAAGAATTTGTTCTTTGAAGATTGGCAAAAATGACACAATCTGGTCCTCAAAAACTGCATCAATTCGTTTGAGTAGATGTGGCAATTTTTGTAGCGTAGATCACCGATACTTCACTTCCAACTTCACTAGCTGTCAGGTTGTTGAGAATTGGTGCCCGGTGCATTTCCCTTTTACAACACAGCTATATTCAGCTTTCTGGCCGTATCTGTACACACTGGCATTCACTCTGGGGATCATACTATTTACATACATTCAAGGAGCAGTTTACTGAAAACGCTTTTGTTTGTTGATTTTCGCCTTTACGCAGATCTCAAAACTGCTGCCTTCATCGACGGTAACGCTCTCCTCTGCTGAACGGCTATAGTCAAACGGCGAGGGATTGGCCAGTCGGTGGGCATGCCGCGTCGATAGCGCCGCGGGGAGGGCTTGCTAAGGCAGGGTCAACCGTTACGTTGGACCGATATTGGAGCGACGTTGGACCGATGTTCACCGCTCTCCGCGCCGGCATTCACTCTCGCCACCCGCGAGCCGTCTGTGTCTCCGTGCGTACGTTCACTCTCGGCATTACTCTCGTCGTCGCGTTGGACTTTGTCCAACGGACGGTTGACCCTGCTGCATTACCCGCATGCCGTATGCTGGAACGCGCATTGTAGTCCGCTGCCTTGGCGCCTGTCCTCTTTCGAATAGGTGTATTTCCCCTTCTTCGACCTTCGACCTTCAAGGATACCCAAAAAGCCCTTTTGTCCGAAACGTTGATTTTTCTTTTTTCACTCTCAGTTCTAACTTTTATTGTCCACCACTGTTGGGAAGTGTACTTAGTTCAGCCGTTTGTTGCAATAGAGGCAGACGACGTCAGTGTCCGTCGATCTGAAGGAGACTTACTGTAACTTGCTCCAAGCCCGACGCTTGCTCAATCTCAGTCGACTCACTAGTACATGCCTTCCCGGAGACATTCCGTCCTGGAACGTAAGGCAAATTCAAACAGTTCCATAGATAATCTAATCACGTTCAGCCAAACAGTGCATGGAAATTGAGTACACACATCCGGTTTTGTATTATCTTACCCCTATTTTTCATGTTCCACTAATTTATTAAGGGAAAGAAGCTTCAAAGATTTCTGGATTCTTCCGGTTTTTGGTGTGCATAAGTTGGTAGATTTTCTGGAAGGGCATGCATAACAAACACTACGTGAAGGATGACAGACCGTGGAACTTATAGCCTGAGTCGGAGCTGTTGAATAGCATGTTGTGTTTGCTGTAGAAAATTCTCCACAAGGCCCTATTTTGCTGTATACGAGGGCATCTATATTCCAACAACCTAATAGTCCCGTGTGAATTGTTTTTGTGCCTTGTGATCTGATAATCGAGGGGTTTTCCCATGTGATGACGACGAGTTTCGTGTTTCAAACTGATCCGACATCGCTCATTCGGTGTGCATCAAAAACTTCTGCCGACCTGTTTGACGACGTGCTGTGTGGCACAGACTGATCCATTATCTGTGCTTGATGATCGAACCTTGTTTTGTTTGTTGACTGCATGAAATTGAAGCTACTGACACAGAGGAAGTGAGACGGGCTAAAGCAATCGTGTCACAGCCATCCGTGTAACTCTCCTCATGCTAAGCATCGGCTTGAGTCAGGCACCCCAGATGGGTTCATATTTGGCTACTAATGGAACGACAATATTCGCGAGCCCTTGCTAAAACAAATGAAGTGTCACTGAAGCAAAAACCTACCTAGGAAATCCGCTAATGAGAGATTTGGATAGGTGCCAACTCGTCAGATCCGCCCTGCGTCGGGTCCGCTCACTAGCTGGTTGTGGTGATCGCGTGATTAGCTGCATGGTACTTGCGCGATTGGCGCGTATACTGAAACGCATTTGGAGGATGCTGCCGGTTTTTTTTGATTGGTTTTAATTGCTTAAATTGTTTAACTATCGTGTTTCTCTTTTGTTGGTGCATACGTTCTTGTTTGCATTGATGCAGCCGCATTTCTTGCTAACACTAGCCATCAATAAATGCCAGCGGAGCAAGCTAGTTCGAACGGCTCGTCCGGCCACACCCTCCATATTTGAGGGGAGTGGATTTTCGCAATCGGGGAGAACCTGCGCCACACGGAGCAATTACTTGGCTGCCAAGGAAGCGATGTGTGGTCCTCCCACGGCGAAAGGTGCTGTGGTTGCTGAGCAGGACCCGTGTGACGCCCCCGCCCCCAGTGACGTGACGCCCACTAGTTTTGTTGATGATCTGGATGGACTGTTTGCTGTTGGCTTTTCATTTTGGATGATCATCTAGCGGCTGTATCTTCCAACTTGCCCACGTATTGCCTTATCAATCAGAACACTATGCTTGTTGGCATGATGGCGGCTATCGGGGTTAACACGTCCGAACAACGTCGTTCTTTACCGTCGCTCATCCATGGTCGAAAATGAAAGGGCAATCAAAGGGGTACTATTTTGCTTATTTTTCTTTGCTTTTTTCGCCATTGGCGTACTATTGAGACCCCCACGTCCCCTCTAAACCCCTTTGAGATCTATCGTAATCGCTTCCTTTAACACGTTGGCGACTCTGGGTTTTCGCACCGCGTGGGACCAGAGCGGTTTTGCGAGCGCCGCCGCCACATGCCAAATTCATGACTTTGAGGCTGTAAATACGCATACGTACACTGCGTCTCCTAATTATACAGCCACCTAGAAATTGTTCAAAATCTCGAATTCCACAAAGTTTCTGGAAAAATGTCCAACAGGAAAACTGTGTCAAATTTGGTCGCGAATTCGAAAATCAACACAAAATTCCAGGTTGAAATGCGAAAAAATTTTATTCTAATTTTTCCGGATAGGGTCGCTTTTCCAACGTCTCCAAATGATACAGCCACCCCGTGTTTTTTTCGTTGTATTTCATTTTTGCTTGATGAAATTTGATGGTAGTCATCAATTTCTCTTTTCTAGGTCATCACGAAAAGAAAGCAGTTGTTGGTCAAATGATGATGGCAAATGATCGCAGAAAAAAAGAAAGAGTAAGCGCCAGTGGTCACATTGCGCGGAAGTTAATCAAAGCTACGAAATGATGAACAATTTCTTCTTGCATGCCGTAGGAAATAAAGCTGGAAAGGGCTCTGAAAGCTCCTCTTTGCTTTTTGATCAAGATTAATGCGGAATTATGAAAATAACACCCAATTTCATCAAAGCCGTGCTCGTAATTAGAGGCCTCTTTCGAACTTAATCTCCTAACTGCATAGTGCTTGGTAAGTAGTGAAGAACTTCCAAGTTCGCTCTTAAGCGGAAAGTGAAAATGGCAGTGTTTTTGGAAAGAAACCTTGACAAAAAACCAGGACATCTCCGTGGAAAGATCAGCCAAGCCAAAGTTGCTTGGCTGCTGTATGCAAATAGGAGGACGCTGACTGTCATATGCGCTAAATTGTTTTCAATAGTGTTCGATCTGTCTAACTTATCGGGAGTTACAGTAATGGAAGTTCGACCGAAATGATGTGTTAAGGCCATGAAAAGGCAAATTTTACTTACTTTCCCTTTAGTGGTTCAAAATTAATTTGGACGTGGTTGTTTCAGTAAAAACACATATCTTGCCACACGACTAGCTTTGTACTCACTTCTATATTCTTTTTTATCTACATGTTCGTGTTAATGAAGAGAAAATGAGGAATGAACTGAACGGATATTTTCGTCCGGTCCCGAAAAACCTCTGCCGAACTTAAAGCCACGAGTCAGGATTAGGTGACCATAGAAGGCCTTTCCATCACTAAAATTTCCAGGAATGCGCTCAGAGGGGTGTTGCCGCACTCCTGACTCGAGATTGCGCGCCGTCAAGGTTTCTGGCCTACAACTTATAGCGATGGGTTTGTTACATCAGCTGGTCCCGCCCACCGCGGGATGTGGTGCGTGGCTGGCCTAACGTGTGAGATCAGCTAGGTTGATTGCCGTATCAACCGATGGAACGGCTGGCATATCCGGAAAACTCGTTTGGACGTGGCTCTCCCCCGAGCAAGCCTCCTTCACTGCTAGAAGGGAAGGGGTTTCGATTTCGGTCTTGTCGACGGTTTCTTTGCGTTTTTTCTTCACTGTCGTTCCACCTCCCATCTCTACACTCAATTTCAGGCGCCATAATGCCCAAACACGAGCCTGACTTTTGCCTTTAAGAATAATTATCGTTCATGTAAGCGCATCG